AAAAATCTAAAAAAAAGTTAAGTCTGGTCCTCTGGACATTCAAACAACAAACTGGTCTGTGTGGGTGGGACCAGTATTTGCAGTTTGACTCCCATCACCCTTTGGAGCACAAGTTAGGAGTCATCAGGACTCTGTATCACAGAGCAGACAGCATCCCCACTAGCTCAGGAGCCAGGCAGAAGGAGAAATCCCACACTGGTTTTGGTTGTCAGCAGCAAACTGGTTGATCCACTCTGTGAAGGTGCTATTTAAGAGACTGAGCTGAAAACAGCACCTCAGACTGAGGAAGTCTCTTGGATGAGAGACGAAACGTTTCTAGATTTTTTTGCTTTGTTTTGTTTTTTGTTTTTTTGAATGTCCAGAGGACCAGATTGAACTTTTTTGGATTAAAGGACAAGAGGTCGGGTGTCTTATTAGCGTCTGGAGCCATGGTTTGTGTGCCAACATGTTCACCCCCAGTGGGGACGTGTCCCATGGATTCAGGGAGAAAAACAGTTTGCATTGAGTGTTTTCCCTGATGGCCATTGGATCCACATTCGCCTTGCTGAATCTGGACCAATCTGAAGAGTCAAATCTGGGTTGGGGCACCAATACTTCTCATGAAATCTGCCCCTGGGCATGATATCGACCCTTCTGTTTAGTGCCATGGGGATGTAAACAGATCTGATGGAGCGGAGACGCTCGTGTCCAGCTGCTGAACCGAGTGAACGCCCCCTTGGCGATTTATGTAGGCTGATGTGGTTCTGTTGTCAGTGTGTACCATCACGTGATGATCCCGCAGCATCAGGGAAAAGTGTTTGATTACTTTCTCTACAGTAATCAGCTCCAACATGTTTATGTGGAGAGACGTGCGAGGGGGCCATAATCCACCCACTGTCTGGGACAGACACGACCCCACCCAGCCTGAGAGGGATGCGTCTGTGGACACAGAAGGTAATTATGTCACTCTGCCCAGGGGAACACCTCTAAGCAGGTTATGAGGGTTTCCTCGATTGCTCAGGTCTGCTCCTACCAGGGTTAACCCTAACCCTAACCTAGTAGGACAACAACGTGAACAGCTGACATCATCCTTAACAGTCACGTGAATGTCAGTCACCGATTTGTGGATCCTGACTCATTGGGGCAATGACGTCAAGGAGTCCCTACTCTGGTGTAACAGGCAAGCTGTCATGGTGACTGAATTTTGATCCACTCCCAGAAAAAACGAACTGAGAGGGGATCGTCAAACTTTTTCTCTCAAAACTAGGAAGTACCGGGAATAAAAATCCAATTCTTCTTTCCCGGGAAGAGCTTTAGAAACAACTTTTATCAGAAGTTCTTTCGACTCGGTCTGTAAATTCAGTCCTGTTATGAAGGTATTAATCGATTTTCCAGAACCCCGCTGAACCTTGGAGAAGTGCCTGCAACTGCAGCGTGTGACCCCTGGTTATTATGCGCTACATTCATTTATGTCATCCAAAACAGATGCTACCACGCCAAGCTGTGCTCTGAGATCGGCCACTGTCATGTGTGGAAGAAAGCAGGTCCCTCCTGCCGTCAAATGCAGAGAGAAAAAACCTGCGTGGACCCATGGAGGGCTTGCAGCGAAAATCTGTCTGTCACTCCCACACCAACCCACATCTGTGGCTGGATGGAGAGGTCATGTGAGTTGAGCTGGTGAATAACAACGAGCAACACTTGGAAGAAGGCTCGTCTTCATCACTATCTTGCACAGTTAGGTGGGGGGGGGGGGGGGGGGCTGATGGGTGCGGAGAAGAACCCTGAGCAGAATGTGTGTCCTAACTGCAGATTCAAACTATGTTAAGTTCGAGGAGGTTCGGCTTCTTAAAATGAATGTCTAAAGATCGCCTTCCCACCAAGTGTCCGAGCATCTGTCCTCAGCATCCTTTATTCACCATCTGATGAGAGGAGGACACCAAATTGGGGGGGCGAGGGGGGGGGGTCTGCATGGGAGCAGAAAGTTCTCACCATGGACTCATATTGTTTCTGTGTGTGATGAGTTGGTTTATTTTAAAATGCTTGTTTAAAATCCACCTTCTGCTTTCTGAGTTAAGTTTGTGTTTTAATCAAAACCTTCACATAACAAACACACATGCACCCAAACGTCATTTCATTTGCTGTCTTCTCCGTGTCTCTTGGGGCGGGTTGGACCAGGAACACACCAGTTGCTCACCTCTGCTGGATTTCATTCACTGAGGGGGCAGCGGAGGCTGTCCTCTGGGGAAAGTGGAGGCTGGGGCTCCTAGGACATACGTCCCAGCAGCTGACGCCGAAGAGGGTTGCAGCTAATCCAAGAGCAACTGTAAAAGGCAGGCTGAATAGTCTGCCCGATCTAACAGGGCCTTTCAAAAACGTCCCTTCTTAATCTCATCCGGATGGGTGGGAAAATCTTCAAACACATCCGTGCCCGCAACACCTGTTGTTGTGGAGGGGCATTAAGTGCATAACAGATTATAAAGGAAGGAGTGAA